TTTTGGCCTGAGCTAGCTAAGTACAAACAGCCACTGCCAACAGCAACCCCCCCCCCCCCAAAAAAAAGAGAATTAAGTAAATAAAAGCAAAATAAAATGTAAATGAATGAATGGACACATAGCACTTCTCAATCCGCGCAGCTTTCATGAACAGCGGACGCTCACATGAAATTTAGAATTTGAGGAATTAAAAAGCGTTAAATAATTACAGCAGTTTTTGACAAAATAATACTATGGCGATCGAAACATTCAGTTACGTTATTTTTTTATTTTTGTAAAGGAATATCAAATGCTACCTTCGTCTAAATTTTGAGATGTGACTTGTGTGTGGTTTATTTTTAAAGGAGACACAAAGATTGATCCACCAAGATTTTAGATTTTGTGGATTATGATATGTTTATTGTCATTTAGTTATAATAATAATTATTATTATTAATGATGATGATGATGATGATGATGATGATGATGATGATGATGATGATGATGATGATGATGATGATGATGATGATGATGATGATGACAATACGCATGCCTTGACACTTTTTGCCCTAGTTGGGCAAGAGAGCATGTAGTATGTTCCAACCAACAAGAGCGCAATCCACCTCTTAAATGCAAGGGTTGTTCGTCTATCCAGCGTTTTGTACTGTCAATCTGTCAGCGGTATGTCCTGTCAAAAAAATATTAGCTTATTATATTATGTTGGGAGCTCGTCCCCACAATGACCCCTCCATGTCTAAAAGAATGTAAAGCTCTTAACACAGGCGCAGCTCTTACACTCTCTGAGAAGACGCAAAAACAATGAGGATTTTGAACTGAAAGTAGACATCACGAAGTAACTTCCCTGAAATGTTTTATTCGTTTTGCTTTTTTAAATAAAAACGTCTGAGTTCTTTTTATTTCGAATATCTATATGCATCTGTCATTTTGTAAATCTACGGAATATGTTGACTGTCATCTCAAATGACGCAGCGATCGGTAGCGACAATAAGATCTCTCAGTATACAATTATTGTAGCTAGCTTAAACAGTGGGCCCATAAACACTGTCTACGCTAACTAGGCACAGGCCGGATTCTCGTGTTGCTTGATCGGTTAAGCAGAACAAAGAAGGTAGGTCCGTGCTATTGTGTCGTATGTTACAACTGGCACAATCCGCCACAAACTTCTTCCAGCGCTATTGTCCTAGCTGCGCTCGGTGCCAGCAAGCCGCAAGACATTTAAGGCAATTTGACACCGGGGCTTAGAAAAAGGCCGGCCGGCAGAGGAAGCAGTCCATTATAAAAACCTTAGACAGGGAGCGACGAGAGGGCTTTCCAACTCCCTGGCCAAAATCGCTTTGCGGACTGGCGCGGTGGGCAGGCGAACAAGGGGGGTAACTGTGCGCCAATCCTGTTGCCAGGGGCAACCCACGAGACTTGGTTTCCGTGTCCGAGAGCGCTGGCGTGGGGCGATTTCAATGTCGGGGAAATACGGGCTTGCTTCTATGGCTTCTTTCTGAACATTGTCTTTGGAGTTCAAGAACCCATAGAAAGGAAAAGGTAGCGTTTGTTTTTCACCATTTCTTGTCGTTTCAGAGGAGGGTGTATTCCTACCAACGTTAGAAATTCGCCTGGATATTTAAACCTGTGACCAGAAGGCACAGTGCTGTGAAGTTTACAATAACTTGTAACAATCAAGGTAAAGACAATGGCTTTATATCTCTGTTATACTTTAGGTGTGTTTTTCACCAAACCAAATGTTCCAGATTTTGATTAGCCTACTACCGGCTTAAAGAAAGTCTCTGCACTATAGCCTCTAGACAGAAGCCTTCTCAAGATAAGCATCTTTTTTACTCTCCCCTTTTAAAAAATTACCTAACTCCTTTGCGCCCCTCGTTGGTGTGCCCTGAAAAAGGTCATCGTAACGGCTGATACTGCTAAGATAATGTTCACGTTTGCCCTTTAACAAGTCCGGCAGAGGTTTCATGAAATTCGAGAAACATTAATTGCTCATCAAATCTGTTCAACCTGCATGTGTTCACGGTTCTACGAGCATGTTTCTGTGTAAGAGCTCTTTGGTTAGAAATAACATTCACAATTTTCATGAAACTACATTTTTAGCTGCAGGTTGACACGGAAACAATGTACTATAACTACATTTTCACATGCCGGTAACCAACTTTTTGGAGCAATCTTTAGAAAAAAATAATAAGAGGTGAAAATGTTCATTATGGCTAATTAATGGTTGTCGTTCCAGTGGTCGCCATAATTGTTGTTCTTGTTGTCGCTATGCTCCCAGGGACTTCCGGTCTTTTCGCGCTTCATTGACCATCGTTATTTGGCCCATGAACAATAACCCCATCGTCATGCGTTTTTTCTGAAAGAAGTCGCGCCCTATCGAACTACCGTTCATTTTATGTTCTAATTATTTATCCTTCAACGAGTCTTTTTGAGTGTGCGCTTTTTATTTCCTATTTCTTATAGGAATTTTATCTCCATTTGATGTGAGTAAGTGGAAAGG